CTAAACTGTGTAATAGTACAGAAAAGGTCAGCCAACCTAAATGACCTTGGGACAGAAGTTTATACTATATTTTGGTTACTCACAACTAGCACCTTGGTTTCGGTCTATCGTACATATATACGCAGACACACATAAGGACATGCCTACATTCGTATCGATGGGCATTGTAGGCAAACAAGCAAATAGTTCTATGTCGGTTTTACTCATTGGTTTCGGGCTCAAGAATGTTATAGGAATGCGTCTTAGCTTTACGGGCAGAGGAAAACTGTAGATGTCTTGTAGACTGTGTCAGCTTTAACGTCTCTTTAATGCAGTCTTCCTGGCAGATCGAACTATGAAACATTTAATATCTCGCTTTCAATTAAGTCGAATGTCTGATATACGAAAAAGGATTGTTCTAAAATTAATATTAATGCACATTACGATAAAGTAACTCGCAAGGAACTCGTTAGGCCAATTACTAGAACAAATGAAATAACCGAATTTAGTAGCGAATTAAAAACAAATGTTAACTCGCCTTTTTTGAGGGGCCTAGCTAAGAGGCTTCCTCTTTTGGTTTCTTTTCCAATCATGTATATTGAATCAGAGTAGTGGTATAATTAATTCAATTATAAATAATATAATTAGGAAACACAACGGTGAATACAAATTTTAGTTCATAAAAAAGAATTCATAAAATTATTATTCTGCCTCACCTGTCACCTGGTTCACAATATTTTGAAATAAGCTAAATGGAAACAGTCATTTAGGCTATAATCAGAGTTGCCTGATTCCGGCGTTCTGTCAATTTTCGAAGGAGAGAGCTAATTTGCTGAAAAAATGTGGCAATGTATAAAAGAAAAATAACATTTTTCGTTTCAAGAATTTCCAGGTCCCCCAGGTGTTGCCTTCAAAGTTACAGGACAAAACCCAAATTGAGTGGCATTAAGCGTGACTCTTTGCAGAAAATGGAGAATTCACAGGTGAGAGAAAGATTATGGTGGATGGGCATCAGCAAAGCACCAAACAGTCTGAACATGAGGAAGGAGTGTGAGACTGCAAGTAAGAAATGCCACCGGTTTTCGGATGTAATTTAGGAAATGGACAGGACATTTTTCGCATTGAATATTGTTTCGAGACTACCAGTAAATCAGTAGTATGAGATGTATTCACACAATTTCGTTTAAGGTGATGAAGGACTGGAATAAAAACGAAATTGGGAGAATACATCTCATATTACTGATTTACTGGTAGTCTCGAAACAATAGTTAATGCAAAAATTAAAGTATAGTAGTCGAAAGTTATGGCAAATATACGTTTGCTTCATCGAAAATCCCACCATAGAATGTGAATTGGCAAAAAAAGACCTGGCCTTCCTTGAAAATTCACATTTGCCCTGTGTAGCCGAGTGGTTAGCGTGACAAGCTCCCATATTATTACATATATTGTAGTTGTTATATTGACATACATATAAATAAATAAATAAATAAATAAATAAATGCATATTCTTGAGAACAAATTTTGGGAAAGCAAGGCTATGTGAAATTCAATGAAAATGTCAGGTCAACTCATATGATTGTGGGAAAATTCTTCTTCTACCGCTCTTTTATCACCTTAAACGAAATTGGGTGAATACATCTCAAATTACAGGAAATTTTGCCAAACACTGAGTAAGCGGACGAGGTTTGGTTGGTTACGAGTCTGTCTTGGACTTCATCATCTCACTGACTCATGAGTAGTCCATACATGCAATCAAACACATAAAAAAAGCATTGACAGGTTTAAATGCTAGTTCACTTGGGCATCTGTATGCCTGTTGGGGTTTCGAGACCTTTACTAGACCTTGGATAATAATTGTGGCCAATCTAGGTGACACAGCGTGATGAAGAATGTATGGTTGAATTTTGCTAAAGTGAAGTCCTCTTCGCCTTGGCCTCATCGACACCCCCAAATGGGACCCGAAGAAGGTTTATGCTCGTAAAATAGCGACAAATTTATGCTAATCCTCTCGCGAACAATATTTATAGTAGTATCTTCAAGTAGAAACTGGTATCAACTATGCTGCTTATATTATTTATTTGTAGACTATATTGCTATCCCTAGATCGTGGTAATGTACTTTTGTGATATCAAATTCTACTAACTATAAATATAAGTAGTGTAGTCGTTGGTAATGGCAAATACAAGACCGTCTCATCGACAATTCAACTATAACCTGACTTAAATATAACATCACTTTTGCGTCATAACCCAATAGCCTATGCGGCAGTTTGACCACTTTACGTCCATGTTAGGGTTTCCGAATCTCGTTTGGGGTTATTATGGTATCCAGGCGGGCCGGAACTGCAGTTTGGGAGAAGTAAACTTTTGGTTCTTCCATAATATCTGCGACCTGTGGCCAACATAACTTTTATTCGAAGGATTCAAACAACGAGAATCGGTGTCATCATACAGCAGCTGTAAATAAACATTAAAATAAACGGGTTTTCGATGAATTTTTGATGAAATTAATGTTTGCGTAACTTTCAGATCGCTGAAAAAGTGGACAGAACGGTATTTTTGAATGATCCCCACCAGAAGCCGAAGCGGAATTGTCGCATCGTGTTACAAGCCGTTTAGACCATAACTACCTCTTCTCCATACTTCAACTTTACTCGTTTTCAGGCATGCTGATTAAAACACTCAAACAAGTAATTGGGATGTCTCATTCAAATCACAAAATGGAGCAGAAAATGTAAGCGGGATTTAGCAGGCGCATTTTTTTATTCGCAATTTTAGTGCATTTTCCTAATCGACGAGTCGACGCAAATTGAGTCGAGGACTGCGTTGCACGACGCTAAAGTCTTCTTTGGGCTCCCGCTATGACCAATTTCCGACACACTTCCCCACCCACCGTTTAAAACAACAAAGTTGCTGATGAGACTTGTATTTCTTACAGAAGTCTAAAATTGACATTGCATCAAGAAGACTTTCTTGCTTTTTCCTACATGTCATATGCACTTATAACTAAAAAAGCGAAGATAAAAGATATAGATATCATCATGCACACTTTCATACGAGGTCTAGCTACTCCTCATGTCTGGAAGGAAAAATGACCATCACATGAGTACGGATAGCTGAATTTTTCCACAATCGGATGATGGCAATTCGTTATAAACGTGAAGCCGTCTCATCCGTTTATGGGAAAATCAACTGGCCCTTCTTCACCACCTCATGTGGACCGAAAATGACTGGAACTCACCGCAAAAAAGAACCGCGAAAAACCCTTTAAAAGATGACATTATTTGATTGGCAAGAGCAAAATAGCGAATAAATCTCCTATTCATCCATTTTATTTCAGCAGTTCTGTCTGGCACTCCTGAATCTGTCCAATTTTTCTCGGGATTAATGACCTCAAAGTCGTCTGAATTTGTCCAACTTCTGTTTTGTTGTGTCCTTGCCTCTCATTTGGCTAATGACCACAACGCT